TAGGGCTTGATCCCCAGTAGGGGGCGTGCAGGAGGCAGCCAATCAATGACTCTCTCTTCATTGATGTTTCTATCTCTCCCTCTCCCTCTGAAATCAATAAAAAAATCTTTTGTCCTCAATTTAAAATAAATGTGTGGGTGTCTAATTTAAAGGTGAAGAAATTGAGGCCCAGCCCTTGTGAGACTGGTCAGGTAATGAGTCAGTCAGGAAGGCTAGAAACATAAGGACATAGTAATTCTGGCATTATCATAATCATATTGAACATTTATGTACCGGCACTGTCCATAACTGGATGGTCTCATTTAATCCTCATGTCCTTTGGAGTAAAGGAATTACCTTATTCTTTTCATTAAAATACAAAGTTGAAATTGAGACTTAGAGGTTAAATGACGTCTAGGGGTTCTGGATATGTGGTAATAGTCTGTCCTGTGTGTTTTTTTAATTCACATTATCTAACATGTTTTCATCCATTTGCCATTCCTGTCAGTTTTACTATCCAGAGAACCTGACTCCTTGTGGATGAACACTGAAAAGCATCACTGAAAATGGCTTGGGGAGGGTGGGCATGGTGATCTTCAGCAGTGTGTGTATGTCACTCATATCCGGCTTTAGGCAACCTATTTTATTTATTATTTTTGAAAACATTGAAATCATCATTGACAAGTATTGTATCCTGGTTCAAACCTTTGCCTTTGCTTTTTTACAGAGTGTGCTGAATAAAAATGGTTAGAGAGGCTGAAGGATGGGAAGAGGAGAGAGGTAGAAAGATGAGGCACTGGGCAGAAGTGACAGAGCCTGTGAAGCAGACAGCTATTGATTTATGCAGTGAATTGCATTCTGGAGAAAATAATTGAAATCCATTATGCCAAGTGCATAGTGTAGAAATCCCCTTGAAAAGCAGTTAGATGCCATCTAATCCCAAATCATTTAAAAACAATTTTGAAGTACCCAGAATTCTAAAATGCACTAAGCAGTTCATCTCTTAGTCTAGAAGAACAGTGAAATGGATGGAAGATAGTATTTAATGCTGTCTTTCTTTCGTGTATTATGTTTAATTGTGTGATTTAAATAGTGTTAAATTGCATTTTAGATATGTACAAATCTGGGAGGTAAGATATATTCTCTTGAATATTCTGAAACACTCCAAACATAGGATATGGAAGAAATCTCTTTAAATTTCTTTTAATTTTGATATAATTTCAGACTTTTTAGAAAAGTTGCAAAAGTAGTATAAAGAACTGCCAATGCCTCCTGGTCGGTGTGGCTCAGTGTTGAGTGTCGACCTGTGATCCAGGAGATCGTGATTCCATTCCCTGTCAGAGCACATGCCCGGGTTTTGGGCTCAATCCCCGTGGCATCCGATCTTTGATGTTTCTATCTCTTTCTCCCCCTCTCCCTTCCTCTCTCTGAAATCAATAAAGATGTATTTTTTAAAAAAGGGAGAGAACTACCATTACCCAGATTTCCCAAATGTTAATATTTTACCATGTTTTCTTCTTTTCTCTCTATATTAAATACTTATTATTGCACCAGGTACCTGTTCAAAAGCTCCATTTCAAGAAATGAGGATGTGAGTTTGTCTGTAAAATTCCTATGCTGCACAGAACTACAAGGCTGGGAGATTACCTCAGGCAGAAAAGAAAGTATGGAAAGGGGCTTCAAATGATAGCTGATTATTCGATCTTTTTGGATTTGTGGCATTCTTTTTGTAATTTAATTTAATTTAATTTTGAACTACAGAATACTCCCTGAGATAATCAGATAGTTCCAAGGGTAAGAATCACTTGAGTTACAATGGTAAGTTATGATATGTATAGTGGTATGAGAGTGAACAGAGATAATTAAAAGTTAGAGCCTCCCCCCCCAAAAAAATGAAAACACAGAATATAAAACAAATCAAGGACCTTAGAAAAGTAAAAAGTTGGGCAGCTACATGGAAATAATTGACCTAAAGAAGAAAGACATCAGGACGAAGCTTAAGAAAGCAGTTACTCAGAGGAACAAAGGATTTTAGAAATCCTCAGAGAAGGAAAAGGAAAACTTAATAATAATATAGAGTAGAATAAAATTGAGAAAAGGATTTTGCATGAATAGTTATGTTTTTACTTGTAACCACAAAGGTCATATTTCTATTATCTATATGGTTGCCTTTTCGTGGGGTAAACTCTAAATATGCATGCATTCTCTTTCATAGAGAGTGTCTTTCGTAGAGTAGAAGTTTTTAATTTTAATGATGGTCAGCTTGTCAATTATTTCTTTTCATGGATCAAACCTTTGGTATTGTATTTAAAACATCATTGCCATACCCATGGTCATCTAGATTGTCTCCTATGTTATCTTCTGGGAGTTTTGTGGTTTACATTTAGGTCTATGATCCATTTTGAGTTACTTTTGTAAGGAGTGTAAAGTCTGTCTAGATTCATTTTTTGGCATGTGGATGTTCATTTATTCTATTACCATTTGTTAAAGAGACTGTCTTTGCTCCATTGTATTGCCTTTGCTTCTTTGTCAAAGATCAGTTGACTATATTTATGGAGGTCTGTACCTGTGCACTCTATTCTGTTCCATTGATTCGTTTGTCTGTTCTTTCACCAATACCACACTGCTTTGATTATTGTAGCTTTATAGTAAGTCTTAAAGTCAAGTAGTGTTAGTCTTTCGACTTTGTTCTCCTTCAATATGGTGTTAGCTATCCTGGATCTTTTTCCTCTCCATGTAAACTTTAGAATCAGTTTGTCAATATCATAAAATAACTTGCTGGGATTTTTATTGGAATTGCATTGAATCTATAGATAAAGTTAGAACATCTTGATAGTATTGAGTCTTCCTACCATGATGTTTACTTCTTTTTTGACTTCTTTATTTTTGTTAATCCTCACTTGAGGATATTTTTTTCTGTTGATTTTTAGAGTGGGAAGGAGGGGTAAGGGAAGGGAGAGAGAGTGGGGGGGGGAGAGAAACATTAATATGAGAGAGATACATCAGTTGGTTGCTTCCCAGTTGTTTGATTTCCTTGGCTGGGAATCAAACCAGAGATTCCTTCAGACCGTGAGCCAGTGTTCTAACCTCTGAGCCAAACCAGCTAGGGCTGTGTTTCTATTTTTACTTTTAAATTTTTTTAAAGTTGATTTCAGAGAGAGGAAGGGAGAGGGAGAAATAGAAACATCAATGATGAGAGAGACTCATTGATCGGCTGCCTCCTGCATGCCCCCTACTGGGGATCAAGCCCGCAACCCAGGCGTGTGCCCTGACTGGGAATCGAACCATGACCACTTGGTTCATAGATCGACACTGAACCACTGAGCCACTCCGGCAGGGCTAGGGCTGTGTTTTTAATTTAAAATTTTATTTGTTCACCCGGCAGGGCTTGGCTCAGTGGTTGAGCATCTACCTAGGATCCAGATCAGAGTTCGATTGCTGGTTGGGGCACATGCCCGGGTTGTGGGCTAGGCAGCTGATCAATGACTCTCTCATTATTGATGTTTCCATCTCTCTCTCTCCCCCTCCTTTCCTCTCTCTGAAATCAATAAAGATATGTTTAAAATAAGTAAATAAATAAATAAATTTTATTTGTTCATTGCTGGTATATAGGAGTTGATTTTTGTATATTAACTTTGTATCCTGTCACATTGCTATAATCACTTACTAGTTTCAGGAGGGTTTTTTGTTGTTGATTCCTTTGGATTTCCTACATAGACAACCTTGAACAAAAGAAGTGTTTTTTTTCCCCCCCTTTCCAGTCAGTATACTTCC